AGTCACAACCTTCCTGCAGCCGCCGAAACAAAATGCCACATCCTGGGTGGCTTTAAACCACAGAAACCTATTATTCCGGTTCCATAGGCTGGAAGTCTGAAATCAAGGGGTCACGGGGCTGTTCTCCCTCCGAGACTGTGTAGAATCCTGCCTGTCTCTCCCAGGTCCTGCTGGCTGGCAGCCCTTGGCAGCCCTTGGCTTGTAGACACACCCCTCAGCCTCTGCCTTTGCCTTCCCCCGACATCGTCCCCATCTGTCTCTGTGGCTCTTTTCCTCTCCTTATAAGGACACCAGTCAGATGGGATTGGGGCCCACCCTCCTCCAGGATGACCTCATCTAACTGACATCCGCAATGACCTTGTTTCCAAATAAGGTCACATTCCCAGGTACCAGGGATTAGGACGCAGCACATCCCTTTGTATCGTATGTGAGGGGCCCACAGTTCAACCCACCACACACCTTTAAGGGGAACCTGTGATTCTCCTGTTCGATAAGGTATACCCCTACAAATAATTTGGAAGCATATATCATGTATACTGATAAAGCCAATACCTACAGTTCCAAAATACAATGCTTATTTGATCAGATACAGTGTATTTGTCAAATTGGTCATTCATTTTTTTAAAAGATTTATTTATTTGAGAGAGAGAGAAGGAGCAGGGGGGAGGGCAGAGGGAGAGGAAGAGAGAGTCTTTAAGCAGACTCCCTGCTGAGGACAGAGCCCAACGGTGGGGGGTGAGGGGGGATGGGGGCACTCTATCCCAGGACCCTGAGATCATGACCTGAGCTGAAGCCAAGAGTCGGACACTTAACTGACTGCACCACCCAGGCGCCTAAAATTGGTCATTCTTAACCAAAATGTACACCAAAGCCACTCCTGGAGCTTTTGCAGAAAAGACACCTGTGCCCTCCCCACCCCCAACCCCGACCCCAGCAAATACAGATTGTTCTGCCTGGAGTGGAGCCCAGCATCTGCACTGAAAAGTGTGCACCACTCCCAGGTGCTTTCCTGAGAACAGCCTAGTGACACCAGGCTCCCACCATGGAACCATGTGGGGTCCCCTCTCATGCTGCACCTGCCAAACACTCGGGAATACGTGAGAATTCCTCTTCTTTGCCCGATTGGCCTTTATCACCTTGAGCCCAAAGAGATTGTGTCCTTCCGGATAAGCCCTCAACATTGTTTGTCATAAGTAAATAACATTCACTGAGTGGAGTTGGCTTCTTTAAGATTCGGTGGCAAGAAGTGAGGAAGGCTGGCCCAGATCCTACTATGAGCTTCAGTGCATGGATAGAGACTTCCACCCCTTGACAGGAGGGCGGTCATGACTAGTTAATAGCTCCAAATGTATTTTTCTTGTTTGATTCTAAAATGGTCCCTGGATGGGACAGGCAAGGTGAAAGCAAGGTCCAGCGTCCAGTTTTGCAAGTTATTCGTCCTCGCTCAGAAGGGCAAGCTTCTTGTCCTGTTGCAAGCAAGGGCTCATGCAGTTAATTTAGCTGGTGAGATCGTTTTTTTCCCTCTGCAGAACTCTGTCCCGAAGATGCATTTGGTTCATGGCATTTAAGCCAACTGCCTCACTAAGCTGGATATCCTGAAGAAAACGTTTGCAGAATAGGGATGTTCGTGATTAACATAAAAATGCCAACATTTCATCTGCCTGGTCCTTCTCCCCTCAGTTCCTTATACTTCATTATCTCTTTATTGAGCAACTAACACACAGAAAAATAAAAATGCCAAGGAGCAGTGTGTTAAAGGGCATTTGGGGAAAGTAGGCTGCAACCCCCTGCCCCCAGTCGTGTGTGGCCCGGCCCGGCGTTGTCCATCGTCCCGCCATCAGCTGGAATCGAAGGGAAATAACATTTGCCAACACACACGCCAGATACTTGTCATCCCTGTACTATGTGGTCTCTGAGTTCCCTTCTGCCCAGCACATGCTATAGTCTGAAGTGACCCTTTTTTGCATCCAAAGTCTCTGCACGGCGCATTGAGCTTAGTGAAAGGCACTGGCATTTGCTGATGGAATGGACAGAAACAGATGACTCTCTGCCCAGAGTCAGCCCAGGCCTTCACCGCATATTCATTCTCTTCCTGAAAGTGAGTCTGGAAGTGGGATGCACAGAAGGGGGTGGGCGGTGAGATGCTGGTTCCCGCCCCCCGCCCCGGACACCGAGCACTGGGGGCCTGACGTAGGCATGGTGCCATCCCTCCCGTTTTAGGGGATTGCTCTGGGCCCAAAGAGAAGAACAGAAGAAGCGTCTCTGCAGGGGTCGTGCTGGTGTTTGTTTTTGTCAAAACCTTCATTTATGAAGCCTTTGTGCAGCCAGCCATTTCCCTACGGGGAGAATCCAGAGCTGGCTGTGAGTTCATGTGCTGTGAAAACCGCTGATTTCGGGCAGACTCTGCCTCCTTCCCTGAGCCCCTTCAATCCCGCTCCCTCTCTGTGATTCCACTTGCCTTGATTGGCTCCCTCCCCCGGCCGTGCAGCGTGGAAGTGATTGAGCAGAATCACCCACAAATTGCATTGCAAATGGTGCCTATTTTTTTCCAGCAGACCATCTGCTGGAGTCTATTACTCACCATTCCGCGGCGCCAAGCAGAGGAGTCAGGTGGCTCTGCAGTCACTTCTGAATCACCTCACTGCAAACTCACACCTGAAAGTCACTTTGCCGGCTGCCTGCCGGAGACGCTGGAAACTTACAGGCTCTGGAGAGGCGGCCTTCTTCCTTTTCTTTTGTTTTTAACCTCAGGAGACCTTTGGGCTTCTGTGGGCTCTGGAAAAGCTTCTTCTTTTTTTTTTTTTTTTAATTTTATTATGTTATGTTAGTCACCATACAATACATCATTAGTTTTTGATGTAGTGATCCACGATCCATTGTTTTCATATAACACCCAGTGCTCCATGCAGTACGTGCCCTCTTTAATACCCATCACCGGGCTAACCCATCGCCCCTCCCCCCTCCCCTCCAGAACCCTCAGTTTGTTTCTCAGAGTCCATAGTCTCTCATGGTTCGTCTCTCCCTCCGATTTCCCCCCCTTCATTTTTCCCTTCCTTCTCCTAATGTCCTCCATGCTCTTCCTTATGTTCCACGCATAAGTGAAACCATATGACAATTGACTTTCTCTGCTTGACTTAATTCTCTTAGCATAATCTCCTCCAGTCCCATCCATGTTGATGTAAAAGTTGGGTATTCATCCTTTCTGATGGCTGAGTAATATTCCATTGTATATTTGACCCATATCTTCTTTATCCATTCATCTGTTGAAGGGCATCTCGGCTCTTTCCAGTTTGGCTATTGCGGGGCTGCTCTGGAAAAGCTTCTGAGCCCTTTCGCGGGCTGCCCCGAGATGGCAGGACACGGGAGGTGGGGCTGGTCGGGGCGGCGGCCATGCCCTCCGTGGAAAGAGGCTAAACCCCAGGACTCTGGGGCCCTTCACCTATTGTGCACTAAGCCTTGCCTTCAGACCAGGGGTGCATTCGAGGGACAGGAGTGCTGGGTGTTGGGTAAGACTCAGCCATCTGGTGAGCAGCCGAGTAGCAAGCCTGCGTTGCCTTGAGTGGGGGTCTCCGCCAGGGGGGCTGGCGGCCTGGAGGAGCACCTGCAAGGCAGGGAGGCTGTTTTCAGGGAGAATGGCGCAGGCATGGGGCCTCCTCCACCCGAGGGACCAGGCCAGTGAGCCCAGGGGAGGAACATCTGCGCCTTCAGGCAGCCCCCACACCCAGGCCCAAGGGTTTGCAGCCTGCCCCACTCGCAGGCCTGGACTTGGCAGTGAGCGTCTCCACAGCTGGTGGCAGCAGGGTCCCCAGGACAGGCCCATGAGCCCCGGTGTCCACCCTGTGGCCCTCTGACCCCCGCCCTTGTCCTCCCCCCGTGATCCTCTTCCTCTGCGGCCAGCTGTCCTTGCCTTGTCGCCACGTACAGTGTCGTCCCTTGCGTCACGTGTGCTCAGTTCACTTTCTCGGCATGATTTCGGGGCCCTCCACTGCCTCTCTGTCACCACGGAGCCGGGGTATGGCACATACCTGATGTCAACCAGTTCAGTGTGACTCATATTACGTGATCCTATAATTATATTGGCCATTACTTTAAAAACAAGTCTGGAGGGAAATGGTTGACAATGCATATAGATGATGTAAAGACAATCCCTAGACCTAAGAGCTGGGGTCTCTGGTCCCCAGCACCCTGACTTGGTACACTTGGGGAGTGTGAAAGCGGACTAGAACTGTTCTTTCTGGAGTAGATAGCAGATCCCACAAAACTCATCCAAAGTTAAGACTCTCCTTAGCCAAGACACTGCGATAACACAAAATAGTGGGGGGAACCTGTGAGAATAGTCGTTTGCACTTCAGCCCCGTTGAAGATGGGGCCACTTTGCTTTCCTGCCACAGCCGGGGAAATTCATCGTTCCTTTAAGGCTGAGGAGTGTGCTGACTGTTGGACACGTTCCCCTCCCGCACAGCTGTTCCTGAGGGAGCGTGTGTGCATGTGTAGGCGTGAGTCCCCAGGCGTCTCCTGCAAGCCGACCTGGGATTTTCTGGAGACAGCTTCCGATACAGTGTCCTTTCTCACTTGGTGCTACCTGGATGTGCCCTGCTACTGTGGGGATTGACTTCCTGTTGTTCTGCTTTTTTAAAGCATCTTAAAATAATAACCTGCAGTGGTGCAATAATAATTCGATTCAAAAAGCATGTGTTGGGCTCAGAGTGTTCAGATGTGTGCAGAATAAAAAGAAAGTTTTCCAGACCATGAGCTTCTGTTCAGGTGGACCTTGAATTATTGGGTTTCACTGGGGCTCGGTGGTCAGCACCCGGCATCTCTTGAGCCCCCAGGGAATGAAGGCATATCCAGGCACAGTGAAGACCACTCAAAAGTGGCAGAAGATCCGTGTCCCCGAGGGGATGCCCGATGTGCTGGCCGCTCCCAGACGTGCCCACACAGCCCTGGTTCACACCCCTATGTGTCGTCTGTCTACATTTCTCCACTCTGTTTTCCCGTAGAGGAGATTTTGAAGACTCACATCGCCCACTGGTGGTCTCCGGATGGCACGAGGCTCGCCTACGCCACCATCAACGACTCCCGCGTGCCCATCATGGAGCTCCCAACCTACACTGGCTCCATCTACCCCACGGTGAAGCCCTACCACTACCCCAAGGTAGGGGGGAGGAAACGGTAGAGCGAATGCTTTGCCTTGTCCCTCCGCAGCCCCGCCCCGGGCGGCTCCAGACATGGGGCTGTCCAGTCAGACATGTTCTGAGCAATGCAGTCAACAGTAGCAAGAGTCAGTATTTCCCACTACGTTGCATTAAATGCCCATCTTTGTGGAACTGAATTTGTTGGCAGGTTTATTCTGTTTTAAATAACTGAACGACCGTGAATCACTTGAGCTTCATTGGAACCCAAATAAATACATTACCTCCACTTATGATTCCATGGAAACAACAATCCACCCTGCCTGCTCCTGGGGCACCCTGTCCTCAGATCCGCAGTTTAGAATTTGGCTCTGGGATGTCAGAGGGATCTCTGTCTGCCCCTGGTCCCCTGGGTCCGGGCTGGGCTGTTTTGTGCTTGGCCCTATTCTGACCCGGAGTCTCTGACTGCTTCCCAGGCCAAGTTGTTGGCCCAGAGAGCCCACAGAACAGCAAGGGTGCAGTGGAGTGTGGAGGGGGTACAAACATCTAAACCTTGCTTTGTTAGCGAATTGCAGCATCCTGGCACGAAGGGAGGACCTGATGCCAAATTCTCTGCAGCCCACTCAACTGGAGAGACGCTGATGTCTGACAGAGTGGATCCAGCTGCCCCACTGCCCCTTGGCTTCACTAGACCATGCCAGGGCCCGGGGGCTGGATGGAGGCGAGCCATTCTCTGCCTGCACCAGCCTGGTGCCAGGCGCTCGCTTCCCGCCTTGGGCCGCCTCGGAAGGATCCCTCAAGCCTCTGCCAGCGAGCACTGAGCCCTGGCTCCCGAGCCATCGGAGGGCTCTGAGAGCTGATGCCAGGTGCCTTGTGCGCCAGGGCAGACAAGACACACCAGCCTGCAGTCTGCATCAGGAGGGGTGGTGGGGGACCAGGGAGGCCAGTGAGTGCATGAGCCCCGGGCCAGAGAAGGAAACACCGGATGTACGGTCGCCTCGGGCTCCATAACAGCAGACATTTACTTCTCACGGTCCTGGAGGCTCAGAGTCTGAGATCAGGGTGCCAGGAAGGTGGGGTTCTGGGGAGGACCGTGTTTCTGGCTTGCAGACCCTGCCTTCCCTCTGTGTCCTCACACAGCCGAGAGCGAGTGAGCTCTGGTGTTTCTGTCTCTCCATATGAGGGCGCGAATCCATCATGGGGCCCCAGCCTCATGAGCTCACCAACCCTGATCACCTCCCCAAGGCCTCACCTCCAGATACCCTCACATTGGGGCTTAGGGCTTCGACACAGGAATTTTGGATTTGGGAGGTGGGGGACACAGGCATTCAGTCCACAGCTCTTTGATTGATGTGGCCAGTATCCAGGGAGGTCCCGTGTGGAGGAACAGGCCTCCTCTGGGGACATGGCCATTGTCGGCCATTCTCCCGTTCTGGGAGCGTCTGAGATGTCAACACACCACACAGGTTTGCCTGTGGACAGAATTCTCTCACTCCTTTTTCAGCTGGTCTTGACTGGACTTAACTCTACCTCACGTGGAAGATCCAGAATTTTAGTTGGAAACCATTAAATAATGCCGAATCTTTGGACCCCTCTACTCCCCACCCCACACACACAGTGTGGCAATGGCCGCCCGGCCCCTCTAACCACCCGGGGATGTAGTGGTTTCCCTGGTGAACCCTTTTACGGGAGGTTCCCCAATTTAGGAGTGATGGCCCAAAAGCCATCTTGATTTTCCAGTGGTTTCCAAGTGAAGTCTGGGATGGGTGAATTGGAATTAAGAGACCCCAGGTGGTTCATATTTTAATGGAAAAGCATCCTATGCTAGCCAAGAGAATGCCCAGAATTGAGGTGCCCCTTGCCCCATGGTACCCTCTCCCAAATCAGAGGCATGAGTTGGTGACCCCGCCGGACCCCTGTCCTGTCATGGCGAACCTGCCATGTCTGCGTGCAGGGTGCAGAGGAAGCGAGGGTGTCCGGGAGACCCAGCAGTCCCACTAACAAAGAATGCCCCCCGCTTCTCCTTCCCCTTCCTGGCGGTGCTCTTCCCCTAGAAGAGGGAGCACAGTGGGGGGAGCAGTGACGCAGAGCAGAACCCACCCAGCTCCTTTTCCAGGGACTTCCCTCCCCCCCAACCCCTGCTGGGCCACAGCCAGCATTCATCAGCCTTCTCCACTGTGTGCCTTGCTGTCAGCACGCCACCTCTTGGTATCGCCTCCAGGAATTCCTCTCCTGCTCCTCGTCCAGCTCCTTTTCCACCTCCCATATTGATAGTCAGGAGGCACTAGGAGGAATGAGGAGGGGGTAGGCTTCCTGGGGAAGGAAGGGCACTGGTCCAGTTATCTCTTGCCCTTTGTAAGGTTCTGTGCATGAGTGACCTGCTCTCAGTCCCAGGGTTGCTCAGGAGTCCTGAGCCCCAGAGTCCTGCCTGTGCATCTCCTGGGGAGGAATTCGCAGCAAGAAGACACTGCCCCACAGGAGAGCTTACTCACGTCTCCTCCCCTTTACTTCCCAGGCTGGATGTGAAAACCCCAGCATTTCCCTGCACGTCATTGGCTTAAATGGACCCACCCACGATCTAGAGATGATGCCACCCGATGATCCACGGATGAGGTCTGCTTCCTTTTCTCTGTTATGTTAAAAAAAAAAAAATGAGATGAATGTTCATTTACATGGTCTTTCCAGATTTATTTTACTGCTAATTTAAACATCCAAGAAAAAGGTAACACTTTCTAAAGCTTTCGTGACTGCTTCATGGTTCGGTTTTCTGCGAAGGAACATCATTCAAACCAGCCCTGCTATCGCTCGCCTTAATCGGGAGCAGGCTGCGCTCCCCGGGAGGCCAGACTCCTTGGGAAGGGGCATGTCTGGCCAGCCGCAGGGCTCCAGCCAGGCACACTGTCTCACGCAGGCCGGTCTGCAGAACGTCCGCTGCATGAACACATGCAGTCTTCACCCAGAAAGTCCACGTCATCCGATGCTCCGCAAATGGCGCCCCCTTTAAGAGCATTACTTTAGAACATTTCTACACTTTGCCGGCTCCAGGAACCGGTGGTGAATGCTCTTCCCAATAAGCCACATCTCCTGGTTGGTAAGCTAACCCGTGGAGGTGGTGGAACAGTTTGACAAAGATAACTGTCCTGTCATCATTAACGTCTGGTTTGGGTAGTTTGTTTGTTTAATCAAAACAATGGAGTAGGATCTATCTAAGTGAAGTGGTCTCTGATACCCGTTTCATCCTGTCCCAAAGTTCGAACAGCCTGGGGACCGAGGATACTTCCAGAGCCCACTTACGTCATCACTCAAGCTCTCTGTGGGGTGGGTATTGATGGGAGCCTGAAAAAAGAGGAACCCGGTGTGCGGGCACCAGGACCCTCTCATTGACAGATCGTAAGTCTAGAAAAGGGCCCAGTGAAGCCGACAACGATGCATTCCGAGACTCTGCAGACACCCACCCAAGATTTTGCCATAATTCTAGCCCAGGCCTTTACTGTGAGTTTCAGAACTCCATCTTATTAGTGGCTTCCAGCAGCTTCTGGAAGGGCAGGAGCCATGGCCCCATCCACTCCAGCGTCTCCACAGGCCCCCCCGCCGGGGCCAGGTGCTCTGGCACTTGGCCCTTCTGGTCTTCTGTGAATGATGTGGTCTTCTTCTGCAGTGACTTCCTTAGTAAGACCCATCTGCCCACACCTCACAAGCCTGAGCCTATGCAGACTCCCACGGAGGTTCTTCCAACTTCCCGCTCAGGGGAAAGTAAAATGCGGAGGTCCTCGGGCAGACAGACCAAGCAGAGAATTCTGTGCTCTATAAATATAAATAGCTCCTCGCTGCCTGTCTCCTGCCCGGGATGGGTCTCCTCTGTGTCAGAGGGTCGCAGTGTCCCCAGAGGGTAATGAATCTGGCCCCCGAGAGCCAGTCCCGGGGTTCCCAGGGCCCTCCATGTGTGTTGGCCGGCGGGGAAGGGGGAGGCGTTGAATCAATTTGGCTGATAATGCTTTTGCGGGGGTAGAAGAAAAGTTCAGGTTATTGCTTTGTCTTCTCTCCTAAAGATCCAGTATTTCATTGTTTTCCTCTCAGCCCCCATCCCTACCAGGCCTCCCGGGGCCTGGTCCAGCAAACTCACTGAATTAATATGGAAAGTCACCTGGAAAATTTAAGCCATCTGTTTGAGTTAATTGAAAATCTCATTTAGTCAATTTGGGATGCTGTTTCCGCAGGCTTGATTAGCTTCAAGGACAATGAAAAATTAGCCTCAGTCAGGGCTGGAAGTTCAGATGCTGGTTTCGGGTTTTCTGCTCTGATTTCGTAGGCGAAATGCAATAATGCTCCTCGTGTGCAATGTAAATCTGTCATGCGTGGAAGTCACGCTTTCTCGTACTTTCTCCGTCACACGGCCTTGAGGTTGTTTCCGAAGTGAGCCCAGGTAGATCAGACACCAGAGAATAAATGGAAGCGGACATTTATTAAGCAGTGACGTTACCAGCTGTGCATAGTGGGGAACAAAGCACGGAGTATCCGATGTGGGGACGGGGTCAGACCGAACACATCGTTATGGGCAGCTGAATAACCGCAGGCCTGAGTAGGGCCACCAAGAAGCGTGCGGTGTGGGGGACGCCGAGCTCGTGGGTGGGTGACAGCCCTCTCTTGAGCTGGGCACTATGACGTTTGGGGCCTGGTGACTCTTTGCTGCGGGGCGGGGGGCACTGCAGGGTGCTCACAGCAGCCCCGGCCCCACCCATCGGATGCCAGGAGCACCCCCCCACCGAGTTGTGACTGTCCCCGTCTTGGCCACATGTCCCCACCTGCAGAACCACTGGTTCAGAGTGAAGGTTCTGCATTCAGATCCCAGTCCTGGGGCCTTGGGGGAGTGATTGCACCAGCCCTGCTTCGGGTCCCTCATCTGTAGGATGGAGCTGAACATTACTAAGAGGACCGGTTGTAAAGATCAGATGACATGGCGCAGTCACCCCGTCTCGTGGCTGTCGGTACTCCCTATAGGCTGGCTGGTGGCCCTTGGCTTCAGAACTGAGCCTCACCTGTCCTCGCAGCGGCTCACGTGTCCAGCCACACCCTCAGCATCTCCAGGTCGTGATGCTCTAGGCGAAGTAAGTGAACATGTGTCGAGGATTTGATGGAACTCATTAGCTCCTTAGGAGAGCGGGGAGGTGTTGGAACCAGAGCAGAGGCATTTGCAAAGCTGGCTGTGTGTGAGCAACTTAGCAGAGAAGAGTCAGGGTTGGTCTGCGGGGTGATAGATCCAGCAGGGCCCTCGACTGTGACCTCTGGGGTAGCTGATCCACCTGCATACACCCGCGGGACAGGTCCCCAGTGAATCAAACACAGAGCCCAGGGTTGCGCTGGAGGAAGAATGCCCAGTGAGCTGGTTGCCTCTTCACAGGTCTCAGACAAATCTGATAATCTCTAAATGGCCTCGCAAATTGGACACGGTCAAAACAGACTTCCCGATCTCCTTCCATAATCCTGCTGCCTCGGGTCAGAGCACCTCCATCCTCTGGTGCTCGGGCCTCTGACTTTCCTGTCTGCCCCGTGCAGGATCTTCCCCGACAGTGCCCCCTTCCTCCCATCTCCTAGTGACCCCTGCTCGGGCCCTCCTAGGCCACTGGCTTAGGACTCTCCCCATCCCCTCCTGCCACCCCCAGAAAGCTGTTCCCTCTCCTGACCTGCTAGTGGATGTCTGTCCCTACATTCTTTCGTTCCCTTAAAATCATGAGCTGCTGAGGTCTGTTTTTCCGGGATTTAACATATCACAGGCAGTTCCGCTAGAAATGTGCTCTGGCAAGTAGCGCCGGGCAGGCTGGCGGCCAAAAATGACCCCTCTCATGTTGAGAAAGCCATGTCTCATCTTTCTTTCCTTTTCCGGGGACCCCACCCTATCTGCCCACACCAGCGCCACCCCACACCCTTATCCCACCTCTCCGTAGCCCTCCTCAGGGATGCTGGACTCGCTCTTAGGGGGCTTGCACCTGCGCTCCATCTGCATGGAAACCCCTCCCCTGTGGCTGAAGGGCAGCGCCCATGCCCTGTGGGTCCTGATCAAACATGCTGCTTCCTGAGCACGCCCCGATGACCTTGCTCAAGTCACAGCCCACTCCCTCCTTTCCCAGCCTCAGTTTCCTTCCGAGCACTCATCCCAGCAGGATATTCTGTATACTTTGCTCACCGCGTCCTTTCCCTGCCTGCCAGCTAGAAGGAAAGTCCGGGAGCAGGGACTTGGGTCTGGAGCTGGGCCTGGAATGCCGGACAAGCTCAAGAAACCTTTGTCTATGGGCCAATGAACTGAACACGTAGCCAATAAAATCTCACTCCAGTAGGATTCTCGAAGATTGAGATTTCTTTGGTTGTTTGGTACCTTTCTAAGAACCAAGCGTTTAGCAATGTTTAGCCGTTGACGGCTCCTGCCATCTTGAACATAGGATGCTGTAGGGGAGGCAGAACTTTATCTCTGCCCATCTTGGGTTTTCAGTTGGGACTCTTTAGCAAAAGGGTAGATTAACAAAAGAAAATCAAATAGTTAAGTAATGCATATGGAGAACATCCCATGGTGAAAATCTGAAAAGTAACTCAAAGAAGCAGTTCAGAACTCCCACTATATAGCATCTTCCAGCAGGAACAATGAATTTGCAGAGAATTAAGCTGACAAAGGAGAGCAGTTTTAGGTTCCCAAGGACAGCAGACCTGGGAGGGAACTCACAGAGGAAGGCTTGTTTGCAGATTCCCCTGGTGTGTCTCTGGGCTAAGAGTCTGTCTCCAGTAAACGGAGAATTTATTTCCTGCCTTTAGACAGAAATGGGGGTAGCTTTTTTCTGGGTTTGCTCCTGCTTAATTGCCTTCAGCTCAAAATAATTTTTATGTCAAAAAGGCCTATCTTGGGGCAACATATCCTGGTTTCTTTCAACTAATCCAGGAAAAGTAAAGCTAAGACACCGTGTAGAGGGTTATAGAGAGGAAGATCTGCATCATGCCCCCAACGATCTAGGCAGAGAGAGACAACAAAGAAATATATATTTAAAAAATTAAGTGCCACAAAGTAGGGATCTGTTCTTTGAAGAGTTTTGCCCCCTGCCTGGAGCAGTGCCTTCCAGGGAGGAGGGTCGGCAGGGGTGGGGTTTGGAGACACAGTCCAGATTTGGGATATTCTAGGATCCAGTCTTAAAGAGGAGTGGGGGAGCACAGGGGTGGGGCCCCCGCACAGGGCGCGGGTTGATTTGTAAAACTGTGGCCCCAGGGCCATTTCCGTTCTTCCCTCCTTCCAAACTGGGCTTCTAGATTCGCTGGCGGGTTTTCACTCTTGGTGTCCCTCTGCTTGTCTTCCCGGGCACAAGGACAAGGGCTTACAGGCTTGCAGGACGGTAGCCGTGTGGGGTGGCCCCTAAGGGATATCCCCCAGCTCTGTCGTCGTTTCTACTACCTGCCTCCCCCAGGTGCAGACACAGGAATACAGAGGCTAAGGAAGGTGTCTGAATCCACGCCGGGTGTGAAAGGGGGTGCTGGGCCTCACACCAGGCTGGCTGGACAGCCTCGCCTCCCTGACAGCCTCCAGAGAGCTGCAGAGAATTCTGGAAGGCCACTGGTCACTTTCAGCAGGCTGGTCA